CCTGCCGATCTGCCCGTACGAATGGACCAAGTCCATGCACCCGCTCGTTTGTGAGTATGCGTTTGCCTCGCCCGTGCCCGCGTGGGAGCCAAGCCCTCGCGAGCTGCGAGAGGGACAAACGCCATCGCCCGTGCCCGCGCCAGAACCCGAACTCGACGTCCCACAATACGTCGGCCGCATCGAACGGTAAGTCTAACGACCTCGGCACTAGGCAATCCAGAAAGCTGATCTCCTCTTCTCCACTATCCTTGCTCACACTCGACAGCGACAAGATCATTCACAAGCAGCTCGCCATGGCGGGCATCCGGCTCGCTGCTGTGCTCAACACCTTGCTGCTTCCATCCGGATCGGGCGACACCATGTGACTTGTGTATGCGTATGATCGCATTTGTAAGCATTCTTTTGTATGGGAGATGGTATTGTTCCTGGTGTTCCTTGTTCAGTGATGCTCCTTAGGCCTGGACTTGGCTGTTGGGATTCGCATCGGCGTCGAGACGCAAATGGGCAAAGGCCTTGGACGGAGAGCCAGAAGGTGATGTGGCGGCGGTATTGTCTGCTGAGCCGTGGCCAGTGACCGGGCTGTTGGCGATGTGCGCCTCGGCGCGCTCGATGACCTGGAAGAAGATGTCCCACATGCGCGGGCAGTCGAGGTTCTCGAGCACCTCCACGTTCCTACCGCCGCGACCCCAGCCGTTGTGCTCAACACGGTCGCCCCAGAAATCCACCACCGTCGCGCCGCACGCCAGACCGTCGCTGCACTCGACGTCGACGCGGTAGCGCTTGGGAGGCATCGCATCCGCTGACGCCGATCCTTCAGCCTGTGAGTCCGACACATCGCTCGCGTCGGCACTGTCTATCGCCGACGGCTCGAGGCCGAGCGAGTTGCTGTCCGTCACCACGCGTGGCCGACGCGGCTTACCCGAAGACGCAGCAGCACGCACGTCCTTGTTGCTGTGAGGATCGGCGTCAAACATCCCCACGTTAGGCACGTCGCCCGGCGACGGAACGCGGCGGTGAAAGAGCGTCGGATCAATGATGTACGCAATCGCCAGCATGTCGTGCACGGGCGGGCCGCGAGTAAAGCCGAACTCGGACGCGTAGGTCTTGGCGAAGAACGTGAGGGTGGAGCTCAGCATCCTCTTGAGGTCGCTCGGGCCAGACGCAGACTGAGTGGTCATCTCCGCAGCTGGCGCAACGGGCGAAGCGACAGGCGAGTGAGACGGCGAGACAGGGCTCAGCGCGATTCTCGACTGCCGGCGGGACGCGGGCGAGCGCACCCGCCCACTCAGAAGACGATCGTGCAGCTCGGCGGTAAAGATGGCCTGATGCGTTACATTGAGACCGGCCATGACCACCTTGATGTCGGTGTTGAAGACGATCGAGGCGGCTTCAGGATCGTTGAGGATGTTGAACTCTGCCAGCGGGCCGCGGTTGCCGCGCACGCCTGCAGCTCCACCCATGAGCACAATCTGTTCGATGCCGCGCACGAGGTGCGGATAGCAGCGGATGAAGAGCGCCACGTTGGTCATGGGTCCGGTGACAGCAAGGTGGATGCCGGACTTGCCTGCATTGAGGCGCTCCGTGAGGATGGTGGAGAGCGTGTATAAAAATAGCGAGGGCTCGGGGCCTGTTGTCGGTGAGCTTGTGCGTGGATGCGCGGGATGCAGCCACGGCTGGCAGAGCGGCGAGGAGAGCGAGGGCAAGCCCTGAACGCCGCCGAGGCCACCTTGACCGTGGATGCCGACATCCACCTTGACTTCCTTGACGAGCGGGCAGTCGGAACCGCGGATGACGGGAATGGACGGGTCGGCTCGGTAGAGCGCCATCAGGCGAACAGCGTTGAGGAAGGTGTCGCGGCCACCAGCGTTGCCTGCTACGGTGGAGACGCCGAGCAGTTCGAGGCTGGGATGGTGGAGAGCCATGAGCAGCGCCATAGCATCGTCGTGACCCGGGTCACAGTCGAGCCATACCGACTTGATTTGAGCGGGATCGGTCGCCAGCGTAGCCGGGGGCGGCTGAGGTACGTCGGAAGCCGTCCGGTTTCTAGGCTGGTAGGCGGCCGACTGTCCCGGTTGGACGAATTGGCTGAGACGCCGCAGCAGGGACGGATTGGATCCGGGAGAAGAGGAAGACGACGACTCTCTCTTCATCTTGCAAGAAGTGGGCGACGCAATTTTAGGATGGTGGACAGAAAGGATGTGGTGTCGAGGAAGGGAGCAGCGATCCGACGCGGCAAATCCGAATTGCGCAGACGCACGGCCAGATGCGATCGTGTGCAGCCCGGGCAGCTCGGGCAGCTCGGGCGGGGAGCAGGGAGATGTTGCCGATGCAGAGGGCGGATGCGGGTGTTGGGCCGCTGCAGGGTAAGCATGGATCGGTTGCCGTGGGTCCACGTTGGCTGTCTGTCTGACTCTGCATTCTTCCCGTCGTCACGTAGCCGCGCCGCCCAGCAGAGAGTGGCTCAGCGCAGGGTCCAGTCGGCGGATCTACAGTAGCGACGGTCACCTTCCGACGCCCAAAGCGTGCGAAAATCGGAGGCATTCCGCGCTCTTTTCGTTTCCGCCTCCACATTCTCTGGACGGACGCCTGGCAACTAGCAATCGCAAAGCGGCACGTCCGTCCATCACGCCGACGCTTATCTCTGATCCTTGATTGCCAGGCTGAGCGCCGACAGCCTGGCCCCTCGCAGCTTCGACATTGCCCAGCATGGCGGACGTGTGGATCTCGCGCAAGAAGTGGACGTGCAAGTACTGCGATGTGACCATCAACGATGACCTGCCTTCGCGGCGACACCACGAGACCGGCGTCAGGCACAAGCAAAACGTCCAGAAGGCGCTTCAGGATCTCTACCGCAAGAGCGACCAGGGTCGCAAGGATGCCGAGCAAACCAAGAAGCAGATCGAGCAAATCGAGGCGCTTGCAGCAGCGAGCTATGCAAAAGACCAGGCAGCAGCTGGAACGTCGGCGTCGGCCACAGCTCCGTCCGCAACCCCCATAACATCTCCGTCGGCGGCTGTTTCTTCTTCCAAAGCATCGACTGGTACCGTCTCCAAGCCGACCATCCGTCGCCCACCGTCCTCGAGTGCTCAGCCAGAAGTGCGGGATGTGCAGCCTGTCGCCGAGGCAGGTCAATGGGAACAGGTGGAGCAAGCCCAGCCGGCCGCATCGTCCGCGTCCACATTCGGACCACAGTCGACAGAAGCAACGGAGCGTGACCAGGCGAGGTCGTTCCGAGTGAGAGAAAAGGTGGGGCGATTGGACGACAGCGATGACGATGACGATCTCGGTGCCCGAACGATCAAGGTCAAGAAGAGACCACGAACCGAGGCAGCAGCAGAACCTCGTCCTGCGCCGGGCTTGACTCGTCCCGAGGCCGAACACACTCACACACCAGCTGCCGAATCTTCTGTATCGGTCAAGAAGGAGGAGTCGGGGGACAATGTGCCGGCCGATTCCAGGCAATCAGATGCGGACGGCGCTGATACGAACACGGCCAGCGCATCCAATGGCGGCGGCGGCTTGTTCAAGAAGCGTCGCCCGGGTGCTGGAGCCGGCACCAAGAGGGTTAGAGCAGTGATTTGAATGGACAACCGTCGCGATCTGTGATTCGGGCTTCGATCGGGTCCCGATGCGCCGCCTCAATTTGGTTCCACGTCACGAAATTGCGATGAATTGACTACCTCTGGCGAAATTGGTCCCATCCAATCGGCCATTCGCCGGAGCCCCTGCCATTTGCGCATGGAACGAGTGACTGCACTGTTCGGGCTCGGAGACGACAGATGCATAGGCACGGATTAGGGGGCTTGAACTCAAGGTGACATTGTGGGTGGGAACGCCTGCGCCGAGTATGGTGCGGAGAGAGTGGTGTGGCGGGAAACGCGCTGATGAGCTGGCCAGCTGGCAGAGAAGGCCGAAGAAAATCGAGCCAGGCGAGGGCGCAGTGCACAGACCGACGACGACGCGCTAAGCAAGCGAGGCTGGAACGAGCCCACTTTATTGGCCGAGAAGAACTCGCCTCTGAGACGCAGCGAGAGACACACACTCAGCCCCGCGTGCCTTGGCTCGGGCCTCTGCGGCGGCGGCTGCCACGTCCCAGCAGCGCCTCGTCAGAGCTGCCGCAGCGGTGCGCTGCAGCCCGGCCGCCCCGTCCACGTCGACACGAACCGGCAACCGAAGCTTCCAGCTCACCTGGCGGACGCGCACACACAAAGCCACCTTGCTCGCCCTCGCCATCCTTTCTCCCTTTCCACACCATCAAGTCTTTCCTCCCTCAAGATAAATACTACCGAGTCTCGTAAGTGTTCCCATTCTTGTGCCCCAAACACCTTGCCAGCGTCCACTTCGCATCGCTGCTCGGTCAGCCTTGCCATCGATACCCCGCCTTGGCATTGTCGCCATCGTCGCCGTCGCCACCCGTCGCTGTGACCCACTCGCTGGTCAGGCTCCCATCGCGACCCTGTCGCATCATACCCACACAGCGCACGAACAGTCTTGCTGATCAACGCCATCCCTCAACTTTTGACGGCGTCAACAGTCGGAAGTACAAGTCATCATGGTTCTCGCCAGCCGCACAACCGCGGTGGCACAGCGCCGAAAGGCTGCTCGTGCCACTGGCCTCACCCGACCCGCCTTCATGACCATCGTCATGGCCATCTTCGCACTCCTCACCTTCTCCGCCTTCATGGCTCCCGGCTCCTCCGCCGGCGGCATGGGTGTCGCCGCTGCCACTGACAAGCGCAGCGAGTACGGAACTGTCATTGGTATCGATCTCGGAACCACCTACTCGTGTGTCGGTGCGCAGGTCAACGGCCGTGTCGAAATCATCACCAACGACCAGGGTAACCGAATCACCCCGTCGTACGTCGCATTCACTCCCGAGCGTCTCGTCGGTGACGCCGCCAAAAACCAGGCCGCACAGAACCCCGAGAACACCATCTTCGACGCCAAGCGTCTCATCGGCCGCAAGTGGGGCGAGTCCGACCTCAAGAAGGACGCCAAGCACCTCCCCTTCAAGCTCGTCGAGAAGAACGGCAAGGCCGCCATCCAGGTCAACGTCAACGGCGACAAGAAGACCTTCACCCCCGAGGAGGTCTCCGCCATGGTCCTTCAGAAGATGAAGGAGACCGCAGAGGCTTACCTCGGCCACAAGGTCACCCACGCCGTCGTCACCGTTCCCGCCTACTTCAACGACGCCCAGCGACAGGCCACCAAGGACGCCGGTACCATCGCCGGTCTCAACGTCCTCCGCATCGTCAACGAGCCCACCGCCGCTGCCATCGCCTACGGCCTCGACAAGAAGGACGGCGAGTCGCAGATCATCGTCTACGATCTCGGTGGAGGTACCTTCGATGTCTCGCTTCTCTCGATCGACTCGGGCGTCTTCGAGGTGCTCGCCACCGCCGGTGACACCCACCTCGGTGGTGAGGACTTTGACAACCGTGTCTCCGACTACATCCTCAAGCAGTTCAAGAAGAAGTCTGGCCTCGACGCCTCGGTCAACAAGCGCTCCGTCGGTAAGCTGAAGCGCGAGGNGGTGGTGAGGACTTTGACAACCGTGTCTCCGACTACATCCTCAAGCAGTTCAAGAAGAAGTCTGGCCTCGACGCCTCGGTCAACAAGCGCTCCGTCGGTAAGCTGAAGCGCGAGGTCGAGCGTGCCAAGCGCACCCTCTCCAGCCAGATGTCCACCAAGATCGAGATCGACGGCTTCTTCGAGGGCAACGACCTCGACGAGACCCTCACCCGCGCCAAGTTCGAGGAGCTCAACATGGACCTCTTCCGCAAGACCATGAAGCCCGTCGAGCAGGTGCTCAAGGACGCCGGTGTCAAGAAGGACGAGATCGACGACGTCGTCCTTGTCGGTGGTTCCACCCGTATCCCCAAGGTCCAGGCCATGCTCAAGGAGTACTTCGGTCGCGAGCCCTCCAAGGGTATCAACCCCGACGAGGCCGTCGCCTGGGGTGCCGCCGTCCAGGGTGGTGTCCTTGCCGGTGACGAGTCGCTCGGCGATGTCGTCCTCATCGACGTCAACCCCCTCACCCTCGGTATCGAGACCAACGGCGGTGTCATGACCAAGCTCATCCCCCGTAACACCGTCGTGCCCACCAAGAAGTCGCAGATCTTCTCGACTGCCGCCGACAACCAGAACACGGTGCTCATCCAGGTCTTCGAGGGCGAGCGTTCCATGACCAAGGACAACAACAAGCTCGGCAAGTTCGAGCTCACCGGTATCCCCCCTGCGCCGCGAGGCACTCCTCAGATCGAGGTCACCTTCGAGCTCGACGCCAACGGAATCATGAAGGTGTCCGCCACCGACAAGGGTACCGGCAAGGCCGAGTCCGTCACCATCACCAACGACAAGGGCCGTCTCTCCCCCGAGGACATCGAGCGCATGGTCGCCGAGGCCGAGGAGTTTGCCGAGCAGGACGAGGCGGTGCGCAAGCGCATCGAGGCCCTCAACAACCTCCAGAACTTCATCGCCTCGCTCCGCAGCCAGATCGCCGACAAGGAGGGTCTCGGTGGCAAGCTCGACAAGGAGGACAAGGACACCATCAAGCAGAGCCTCAAGGACGCCGAGGCATGGCTCGACGAGAACAGCCAGACCGCCGAGGGTTCCGATATTGAGGAGCAGCTCAGCGAGCTCCAGGCTGCCGTCGCCCCCATCACCGCCAAGATCTACCAGGGCGGCGCTGCCGGTGGCGACGACGAGCCTCTCAACTACGGCCACGACGAGCTCTAGACAGGCTCGGACGTGGCAGCACGGGTCTTGCGTGGCTTTAGCTGCTTGTATGCTCGCACGATGCGCGAGACAGTGCTCGCAGCGGGACGCAGCAAGACTTTGTAGTGAGAACATTTCTGCATCTGATAAGGATGCGGTCAGTCAAAAGAATTCGTTCGAACACGTTGTGCGTGAACAAGCGTGATTGAGTGAGAAGGGCCGACGCACGGGGCTTGGATGTGGACCCTGAGTTGCTGCAACGCCTGTCTGCTGCTGGTTGCAGAAGCAGTTGTGAACACACCTGCGTGAGACTGGCAATCGACTTGCAAATGCATTCGGCATTCAGCAACCTCTGTGAATGTGAAGATTGGTCGCAATCAGACAGGCGGAGTGTTCATACGGACTGTTCAGGCGCAGACAAGGTCCCTCGCACGTGTCCCAGAATGGCAGATTGAACTGGTGTGCATGTCTAGGCGGAAGGCGAGGGATGCGTGGGTAGAAACGGGCTGCGTGTCCGAGGTGGTATGGGGTCCATGCGATTTCAGGCCGAGTCTGTGGGGTTGGATGTTTGCATGCCCTCTCGGATCTGGCGGACAATCGAGTCGCTGACGAGTGCTCTGAGTTCGTCTTCCGGATCGAAGCCCTCGCGTTCTGCACGGGTCATGATCTCTCCTACGCGTGCCATGAGCTGGTCGGTCTGCGCGTCCAGTCGCTCGTCCTCTGCTGCCTGCTCTTCTTGCGTCAACGCCCGACCATCCGTCCTTGCATCGCCATTCTCGTCCTCGCCAAGCACGTCCTCCTCTTCTTGTTCAGCTTGAAGCGACTCTCCCGTCACGGAAGCGATGTACTGAGCCAAGTCCTCGTGCTCGTTCTCGAACGCCTGTTGCGCTGCTGTGAGTCCCTCAGAATTGGTGTGTTTGGCGTTGGCGTGGAACTCCTCGATCAGACAGCGCGCAGCTTCGACCGTCTCGCAAACGAACAGCGGCGTGTCGAGATCCGAGTCGGTCACATTGACCGCATCTGATGGCGCAGAAGGATGCGACAGCAGGTAGCGCAGAATGTCGAGGTGTCCGTACGATGCAGCAGCGTGAAGGGGCGTGTACGTGAACTCGTCCGCAGCAGTAGGAGAGATGCCTTCGCGTTCAACGCAGTCCTTGACGCGGTCGAGATCGCCTTCGCCCGCGGCCATCCAGATGTTCTTGGGCGCAGATGCACCTGCCGGCGCGACGACCCGGTCCAAGTTCGTCGGTACTGGCATCTTTTTCGAATCGCTTGACAGTGAAGCGCCTCGGTGTGAGTGGTTTGATCGAGAGTAGCAGTGGGAAGAAGGCAAGGCGTGGCTGAGGTGGCTGCAGGAGCATCTCAAATTTGGATTATGTGGTGCTGACTTGCCGTTTACGAAAACGCGGAAGTCGGAGAAATGTGGAGCTGCGCACTCTCACGACACAAAGCTGCGTTTTTGGCGGGACGGCGCAGTTCGACACATCTGCTCTTGACTCCCGACCACAAGCTTGTTGCCGTCTGCTGGATCCATTCGTGGCTCGCTCCGCAGTCGCCAAGCTCAGCAACCATGGGCAAGAGGAAAAGCTCCAGCAAGAAGCCCACGGGCTCCAAGAGACCACCTCCGCTCGGTAAGTCGAACATCTTGCCGACATCGCTGGCAAGGTCCACGTTGAACAAACGCACCTGAGCACCTGCGCAGAATAGCTGACGCTCGGTTCTGTGCTCTCGCTCCGCAGACACTGTCTTCACATGTCTCTTCTGCAACCACGAAAAGGCAGTCTCGTGCAAGATGTAAGTTCGCCCGTGTCCGAATTATGCACAACGACATTCGGTATACTGATTCTATCGAGACATCCTTTGGATACGACGATGCACACGATACGGATTGTAGTGACGAAAAGGCAAGGATCGGCTATCTTTCGTGCAAGATCTGCGGACAAAAGTTCTCGGCGGACACAAATCCGCTCGACCAGCCCATCGATGTCTACTCGCTCTGGATCGACGCCTGCGAGGATGTCGCCAACGAGCAGGAGCGCTGACGGTCCACAGACCACCATTCGCCCTCTCTTGTCGATCCGTATCGCGGCTGGCTGTCCTCTTGCAACATACGACGTGCTAGGAACCGGTGACAGCATACCAGTCTACTAGCCGGAACGCACGCTGTTACCGTCTTCTTTGTGAGACTGCATCTTCCGAGCACGACAGCAGGGACACCCATCAATGGACCCGGATGTTGCTTCTCTCGGCTCGTGTCTTGACTCTCATGTACTTCTACAACCGACCATCTTCGTATCGTCTGTGCCGCGCGCGTGTGTTGGTCTGGGTTCAGTCGATAGAGCATCGCTATGCCGCTCTCGATAGGGCGCGGCTCTCGCGTACGCACAGAGATTCTTGTGGGGCACCCTCGACATCCGACATCCGGTGCTGGAAGGCGGTCTTTGGTTCGGCGCTAATCTAGAGATCACCGACAAGACCCGACTAAATCGGGGATCATGCTCGTGCGTCGTGGTCCAGTTCAGGGTCAGAGCTGTCGAACGGGCTTCGGACTTGCGCGGACGACCTTGTGGAACAAGTTGGGCGACCGCACTGCCACGACCCTGCGATGGTGTGGACCCGGATAAAGCTTTACATTCTTAAGACTGTAGGGGATGTGATGGCGGTGCCTAGGTTGGCCGGTGCAGAGCACAGCCGGTTGCTATGAGCTGACGGCGGCGTACCGCCTTAAAGACACGCTGTAATGTAGCAATGGCAACGGCCGTAGTCGTGGCCTTACGTGCAGTACGCTGGTGTCTGCTCCAGGCAAGACCGCAGGCAGCAAGCTTTCGCGTCGGTAAATGGATCCTGTGCCCAGGTGTCAAGCAGTGCGCCGTTCAGCTGGGTGTAGGCTTTCCCGCGAGGTTGCTGACCGGCTACGCAGCTGAGACTAGGGTCTTTACGAAGGATTAGAGTCGGAGACCGTGTGACCCTCATTCGGAGCGAGACAAGCACCCCAAACCACCCGTAGCCGGCCCAGATCCAAGGACGTGCGGAAGTAGAATGTTTCCGCTGCCAGGTGATGGCATCGATTCGCAACCCGAGTCGCATGTTAGGTTCGGCTGCAGCTTTTGGGGGAGGCATCTGCGCGAGATCGAAGCGTACAGCGATGTGCATATCGACTGCATATCGACTTGCAAATTGAATTCGAGCCTGGCTACTCTAGGCGCAGGATTACGCCATGGGGTTGGGCACCTCGACACGCGCTCCGAGCGTCGCCTGTTCATCCACGCGGTGCACAGCCTCACGGCCCTCGCCTGCTACCAACCTGAGACACACACTAGCTTGCGCGCGCAGCGGCGCAGTCCCTTCGCCACCATTGGCCACCTTGAAATCATTTTCCGTTGGGACCGGCTTGCGCCTGTCCATTGTCGGCAAGACTTGGTGAGCAGCGGCAATGCCAAGCTGCGCGCAAGACGAACGATGACCGGTCAAATCACACCCAACGACATCAAGAGAGGCGGAGGGGGGCCAAAAGGTTTGATCGATATCCATCCAGTCTGTTGTTGAAATTGAATTATTCTTTTTTTTTGCGATTTCCTGATGACAAGTTCAAGTTAGTTGAGTGAAGATCACGGGTCCAAAAGGGTGCGAGGGCGAGGTTTCGGGAAGAAGTGCGACGCAAGCTGTCAAAAGGTGGCCCCTGCGCTACGTGCCGCGGACCATCGTCGCCATCTCCACTGCCAATTTTTCCGAAGCATCCCCGCCCGCCTAACTCCTCGTGTCGCCAGCAGCCCTATCTTCGGCGCCATCGCATTAGACAGTGGTGGCAACATCCGCCGCCTAAGTGCGAGATGTGGCACAGAATATGAACTTCGATACAGGCACACGAAGATTATTGAGTGGGGATGTAAGAACGTCTGCATCATTGAATGGGCTGCAAAGCGTAGAATTGCAGCAGAAGATGCTAGGCGTCTCAAAACCCATATTCGCACATCTAGATTTGGCGTCGCGGCAACAAGATCAAAAGGCAATGTTCATGGTGGTATTGCAAACCAAAAAGAATGGAGCAAGACTGCCTGCCAGCTCTCGAAGCCGAGAGACAGTGGACATGCAGGAGAAAAGAGGGAGGAAAGCGTGGCAGCTGTTGGGGTTTATACAGGTATTTGACAGGCGACAGGTCGGGTTGAAAAAAGAAGGCGAAGATGGAGAATAGCAAGCCGAGCGAAACGAGCTACAGCGCGCAGCACGGGCCTGCGGCTTGGCTGCTGCAGTAGTTCGTCGTCGCATCATGTCGAGCCACATGGACGGCTGGCAACGTCACAGGGCAGATTGCCGTGCATCCCATTTAAAGGAAGGGGAGGAGGGCACCAGCGAGACCGAGGACGGTAAGACCGGCGGTGGAGGGCGAGAAGGCGGCGGCGCCGTTGGGGGCGCGGCTCGAGGTCTGGGCGGGGGCCGAGCCGGAAGTGGTAGCCGAGCGCGAGGCGGTGGCCGAGGCGGACGACATGGACGAGGCAGCCGAGCTCGAGCTCGAGGCAGCGGCCGAGGAGGAAGAGCGAGCCGACGAGCTAGAGGCAGCGGCCGACGAGCTGGCAGCCGAAGAGGTGGCGGCACCACCGGCGGCGGCCGACGAGCTGGAGCCGCCGTTGAGGCACGAGCTGTCCGACGAGGGAAGGACAACGAGGGGCGAGGCGTAGTTGGGCATACCGCTGCCGTCGTTGATGGTGATGGTGATGTTGGTGCCGGCGGCGACGTTGACGGTCCAGACGTACGAGCCCGAAGCGCCAGTCTGGTCGGGGAGGTTCTCGATGGGGGCGGCCGAGACCTCACCACCGGGGAGGATGCTCAGACGGACGGTGCCGGTGGCACCCTGCCACGAGAGAGCGGCGGGCTGGCACTGGGTGATCGAGGCGGGCGTGTTGATGGTGGCGGCCGAGGCGGCGGCAGCGAACACAACGGCACCAGCGGCGGCGGAGGAGATCTTGACCATTTTGAAGGATGAGAGAGGGGTTGTTAGGGGAGCAAGGGCAAGATGCAGCGAGGTGGGATACAGGGATATGATGGAGAAAGAGAGGGTGGATGGATGCCTCTACGGCGGCTCACATATATACTCTAGGCGAAAGGCGACTGAGGGAGGGGGGAAAGGCAGG